AGAACATTTCTTTCTGAAGACTCGTTCATCCAATGAACAGCGAGGCTCTGAAACACATTGCCATTGCAATTCCTACCTTATTTCCCTTGGTTCTCACGATGTTCTCTGAACATTACAGGATATCCCTTTTCGTGGGAACCAGAACATAAAGAACATACAAATTTTTGAGTTTTACCCCAACTCCAAGTTGGGAAACTTCGAATGGGTTGCCTACATAAATCATCCTGTCGTAAACGTCACAAATATTTTGCTCTCAATTTTTCTGTCCAGAATATTAAGTCACTTCGGGATGATACTGTTGTTTTGTAGATAAGATTATTAAAAAAAAATAATGAAAAAATGATGGTATATCACGATCACCCAGTAGATAAGTGCATACTAATTCAATTTTCAATTAGTAAATAGTCGCTCCCCTAAGCATCGAGCTACCCTGTGATGCCATAGGTACGCCGCTGTCACGGGGTGATGTGAATAAAGAAGCTTAATGAAATTATTTACTTTCTGATGTAGCAAATGAATAGGCCTGAGATAATAGGACATAAAAGCTTGATCTTCGTCCTGGTCTTTATTTGGCGAGCATATTTTCAATGTTTAGGTAGCCAGGGGTGTTGCCTGGGAAAAAAGTCACTTGGGGGTATATTGAGAATGCTTTATTGTTTGTGGAGGTGACGAGACATCATTGTTTATTTGTTAAAGACTTTATTTGAAAATTTGCTCTCCTTTGGCATGCCCATCAAAAATATTTATTGTTTCCTAGGGAAAAGAAGAAGATATGAACTCTTCAAGACGAAATAAGGCGCAAGTGTCGTGAACATTGTAGATACCTACAACATTGTTCGAATCAGTGAATTGGCACTTTTTTAAAGCTCTTTAGGATGGAACAATGAAAACAATGGGCTTATATCACAAAAAAAAATTATTTCATATTTCGATTGAACTCACCGAAACTAGCTCACCACCGCAAACCGTTTCTTGCTGTGAGCTCCCTACGTTTTATAAAAAAATATTGACATCCCCGATTTTTCGTACCTCTGAAAACGAAGCGATGATGTGACGTCAAAACCCTAATACTGAAACAAGACTATTCCAGACAGAGATGGATGATACATGATTTCTGACAGAGTGAATTAGCGCGAGATCACAGTTGAAAGAATTAATATATCATCAGTTGCCTCAGTCTCCGTCGAGCGTTTGGTATTTTCATTTAACTATGGCGAGATGAGGTTTCTACGTCATCAGAGGGTCCGTTTTCAGAAGGTACTATTATTCATGTCCAAAAATAAAACATTCCAGTTAATTTTTCGATCGAATTATGTCGTCAATCATTATTTATGTATAAAAGGATCATTATATAAACATGGTTTGAGTTAAAAGTTCTATATTAGAATTCGAGTTTCAAAGTTTAATATTATATCGACACAAAAGTTTATCAATTCAATGTTCGTCGTGGCGTATAGCCAGGAAAGAAGTTGTTTTCTGTTGAATATCAGAATGCTATTATGTGCATATACATATTCTTATCTGAAGGATAGAGAAAATTTTCAACTTCAGAAGATTTTGTTTTCAAATTCTCATCGTGAGTGTTCAATAGATATAATTCAATGTTCGTCGTGGCATATGGCAAGGAAAGCAGTTGTTTTCTGGCGAATGAACCGAGAAAGAATTGATATTTTCATCACATAGAGAATGCGAATTCTTAATGTATTTTTTCATATATATACCCATTTTTTATCTTCATAATTTTATCTGAGAATATTCCTTCTCAATATAAATATAGGTGTTTTGAAAAAGTAGTAGTATATAAGTGGATATGAAGGTCTTTAAAACAAGCTCGAGTTTTCGAGCATTAAGGCCAGTTATATATCCAAGAATACTTTAGGCTTTTTTTTCATTGGTACACTCTGAGGTCGTGAATATGGTAATAACTATATAATAATATTGTGATATGGGTGAACATTTCTTAGTGATATCAATTGACGTTACATTTGGATATAAATACGCTGGGGCGTTCTATGAATAAGCATATTAGGGTACCAATAAAAAAGTTATGAAAATAAAATATCGCTTATCTTCAGAATATCTATATCTGAGGTTATATCTCAAAATCCTCGTGCGCTACTATTGCCAAAATGTCGATACATGTCAATAAGAATACGGTCCGGTCCATACTGGATGATCATTCTTTATTTGTTTTTGGCCAGCTTTCATTAGTCTAGCCGACTGAATCAGATAATTATGTGGATAACCTTGTAGCTCGTCTCCTACTGGATTCCTTCATTTCGACTTAGATGCAACTTCATACAGGGATAGTCATAATGTCATGTCAATATCAGTAGGAATTCCTGACTCGGTCTATGACTAAAGGTTTTCATAGACATAAAATATGTCGATTCTAACTGGCATCCTGTTCAAGTTCAAGATATAAAAGGTGCCCAGAACAACGTTCCAGAAATTCTACAGCGTGAGATTGCGATGAAAATCATTATCATTTCCAGATTTTCTTCAATATTTCGACATCCTCGAGAGGTACTGCTCTGAAATTCATAGGTAGTTCAATTTACTATAGTGAATGTGCATGGAAAACATGTCCTATCAATTCAATTAATATACAGGGAGTTAGGTGGCGTGAGATAATGTCTTTGAATTTCTCTACTGAATATAATCATAGGTTTTTCGATAAATATAGGTATACAACTGAAAAGAATTCACCATGATACAATGTTTGGGTACCTACCATGAGTCATGGATATAGTTTGGGAAGGTCATGACAATATAATTTATATGCAGGAGTACCTGTTTCAAGGTTTTCAATTTACGATTCACGAAAGCTTACCTACCTACCTTTTTAAGTATTTATATAATCAAAGATAGAATCAAGTAGAAAACAAGTGGAAAAACCCAGATTGACAAAAAATACATTGTTTGTAAATTTTGGGTCATTATGATGAGAAATAGTAGCTAGTGCACTTAAGAGAATCAGAATGTGGTCTGAGTTGCTTATTTCCCCTGAGAAAACTTCAAATAGGAATATTACATTCGTTTAAGCCCATTTGAATAAATGTTATTTGCTATCAAGTCATCATGAACCGTTTACTGACTGCATATAGCCGGTTGTACAGGGTCTTCACGTATATCGTGAACCCCCACTCTACATTTTTATGTATGGTTCAATTATTTTTTCAAGGAACGTTCTTTCATATTTTTTTCTGTAGATTTTATCGGGCACAGATCCGACATCTCCTGGGATACTGTTCCCATATTTGGAGTGCAGCACCCAAACATACCCTGAAACTGTTGGATTCTGTCTATACCTCCAAATATGGAAACCAAGTTTTTGGGATGCACTTTTAGCAATCGATCTGACGTGATTTTCCCAAGGAAGGTTATTGCTGATAGCAGAGATTATGGGGAGTGTATAATCTCTGCTGATAGTAATACCAGGATGTCTTCAAAGGTATGGTTACTCCTGACAAGCTTATTATGTTGGGCACAGTGAGATCGGCTTTTCTAGAGAAAAGGCATGCTTGTGTTTTGTTTGCATTGAAATCTACCAAGATTCCCATTCGAGAATTGTTGCCAAGTCCATATTATTTATGTTGTCAACATTTCTCCCTCGTTCGTTTCTGATTTGCCTGGCTGGTATTGGAGCCCTGGAAGAGAAACGGTATGGAGGATACTATCATCCGCGAAGCTGTTTACTGGACATGAAGTTGCTTCCAACAAATCGTTGATATGGAGTAGAAATAGTGTTGATGCTAGAATTGATCCTTGCGGAACACCAGCATATATGATAAGAGAGACCGTTAGTGATTCGCTATTTCAATGATGTTTTGTTTTCAGGACCGGCCGTACATTTTATGTAGACTTGATTCCGCACCAATTAAGGCCATGAAGGGTATTTGCTGATATTCACTGTGATGTGGAAACATTCGTTATTCGAATTTACCGCCAATAGCACTGATTTAAACTTACCGTCATTGCCCAAATCGCTCTGATTGGTTGGATCGCGTTTTGTCAGTGATGTTATATACAGAGTGGGCCTTTGAAAACGAAACAGAGGCTCTGTAGGTCGCCAAAACCGGATTATGAAAAGAATCTGAAACACGTCAACTACGTTTTCGAGGGGGACATCGTCCTACAATATTTTCAGCCCTGCGGCGTTGCCGCTGCTAACGAAAAGAAGCAACAACTTTGTTATTTCAAATGGAACACCTTGTATTTCATTGCATTTTTAGATTCTCCCCGAAGAGCTGATTTCATCAATGCATCACACTTGGGGTCTAGCTGTAATGGTTTCAGGGATATAAAGTGTTCAAAATCGAGATTTTTCACCTTTGACATTTGTTTGTGTCGAAACTATTCATTATTGGTCGAAACGGCTCTCATGTCCCTATCTCAACTTGTGATTTACTATATCTACTGACATTTAATTGGAACAGATACAGGGTGATCAGAATTCTGAATCTTGAACAACCCTGTATTTGTTTCAAATAAATGTCAGTAGATAGTAAATCACAAGTTGAGATCGGGACATGAGAGCCGTTTTGACCAATAATGAATAGTTTCGACACAAAAAAATGTTAAAGTTGAAAAATCTCGATTTTGAACACTTTATATCCCTGAAACCATTACAGGTAGACCCTAAGTGTGATGCATTGATGAAATCAGCTCTTCGGGGAGAATCTAAAAATGCAATAAAATACAAGGTGTTCCATTTGAAATAACAAAGTTGTTGCTTCTTTTCTTTAGAAGCGGTAACGCCGCAGGGCTGAAAATATTTTAGAAAGATGTCCCCCTCGAAAATGTAGTTGACCTGTTTCAGTTTTTTTTGATAATCCGGTTTTGGCGACCTACAGAGCCTCTCTGTTTCGTTTTCAAAGGCCCACTCTGTACGCGCCGCGTTTACCTAGACGCTTGAACGAAACAAATAAAAGATTACAAAAAAAAGCGGGGATATCCGAGGCTATGTCCGAGGATACACCAGAATTCGACTGAAGTGAAACCTGATACCGGTTCAGCATTATCTGTTCCGACGTCGACTTGTCAAAATGGACGCTCCTATGGCCAGATGGAGGTGCAAAGTTGCTGTGGTTACTGGTGCCAGTTCAGGCATTGGGGCTGCAATTTGTGAAAAACTTGTCGAAGAGGGTATGCATGTAAGTGCTATAATAATTTCATGGTCATCAATTGAGACCAAAGCATTTAGCTTGTTAAATTGCGCGCGACCAATTTAAATTCAAACAGATAATTTGAAGTTAAAGTGGTACATACAGAAAGTTAAAACTACACCATTTCCAATTTTAGTTCAAAAATCGTCAAGTTGATTTCGAGAAGTATCAAATGTATTTCGAAATTATCAATTCAATTTTAAAATGCATTAATTTTATTTCAAATCAGTCATTTTTATTTCAAAAAGTATCAAATATTTTTCAAAATTATATCGCCGTAGGTGAAGTATAGTACGTAATGCGTGTTGTAAAGTCATTATGCGTGCGTACATTTCGTGCGTAATATGCTCCTTCCAACACATATTTCGTAATATAATATTATATTTTATACTTCAAAATTCAAATTTCGAAACTCTATCAATCAGGGCAAAAAAAAACTCCCTTTAGTTAAATATTTTTGACTCCACCGGGATAATTTTCCGCGAATTTTTTTAATCTGTGCTCATATTAGCAACCAAATACAGGGTGTTCCGAAAAACCTTTTTTTTTCTCAAAGGAAGTGCATCAAACTGAATTCAAAAATATACATCATCCATATCGAATAAGATTAGGTCATTTCCGAGGTCATTTCATTTGATAAAAAAATTCCTAGCCACCCTGTATTTTGTCGATATGAAGGAAAAGTGAACACAGATTATAGAAATTCGTGAAGAATTATTCCAAAATATGTCAGCAAGAGCTAATTATTTGTTCCTGTAGCAAGAGAAAATTATCCCAATTGCAAGAAATTTCAGAAAATATCAAGAGCCATGGATATCTCAGAACAAAGAAATTTTTCTCCATGCAAGATATTTACTCTTTGTAAACGAATATTTATTTCAAGATCACAGGATACCTTGACCCCAAGTAGACCTGTTTTTTCAGAGATAGATATATACAGTGTGACCCATTTTTAATGGAAACAAACCCTGTATCTCACGTAATCGTTGGGTAAGAATCCTGAAATTTGCTGGAGCGAGAGATGTACCAAAAATGCACTCTATGATCAAGTGGGGTCATCTTCAGTGTTATACACTGCTCGCCAACAGCCATGAAACCATCCCAGTTTCCGGAAAATGATACTAGGAGTCAAAATAGGTTGAAAATCACTTCGGATTCGGAATCAGGACGCCCATTCCACTAACTATTCATATTTTTCCTGGTCAATTTTCAGTTCTGAAAAATTAAATTTTATCGCACTTTTAACGGAAGCACCCCCGTATCTTACGTTATTGACTTCATCTTTGAAGTTTTCCTTCCTCCTGCAACTTTCAGAACGCAACCTCAATAATCACGTGAGATAGTGAGAAGTGAGACAAAATTCAATTTTTCTGAACTGAAAATTTTCTAGTAAAACTATGGATAGTTAGTGAATTGGGCGTCCTGATTGCAAATACGAAGCGATTTTCAACCTGTTTTTACTCCTAATATCATTTTCCGGAAATTGGGGTGGTTCCATAGCTGTTGGCGAGCAGTGTATCTCACTGAAGATGGCCCCACTTGGTCATAGAGTGCATTTTTGGTATATCTCTCACTTCCAGCAAAGGACCCCGCACTAAACTATTGGGAAAATGGCTTCCGATGAAAATCGCAGAATTTTTGGTATTTTGCAGACTTTGATATACTGAACAGATATTCCATGGAACTAACCTCAAAAAATGAACAGTTTTTCCGATATTGAACTCCAAAAGTCATTTTTTCGAGAAAAAAAGTATCTGGAAATGGTTGAATTTTTGGCATGTTGTAGATAGGAATGAACTGGTGAAAATATCCAATTGACCTAACCTACAAAAATTGACAGTTTTCTCGATATTGACCTCAAAATGCAGTTTTTTCAAGAAAAAAATCTTTGAAAATGGCTGAATTTCTAGTATGTTGTATATAGGAATAAACTGATGGAAAAATTCAATTGACAGTTTTTCGATATTGACCCCCAAATGTACCTACGTATGGAAAATAAGATGAATGGAACAAGACAAAGTTGCTGTTTTCGAATTGGTATTTGGCATTTCATCCTTCTGAAATCAACTTGAAGCCGAAGCACAGAATACTCAGGATGTAATGGAATATATATTATTTAAAATATGGTTATAGTCTTCGTTATGGTCTTTTTGATGTCAATGGGGTTGTAGGTATACACACTAGTCGAATTTATGCCATATATCCATTTTATTTTGATCATTCCATCTATTATAAAAGTTTTTTGAGTTTAGGTCAATAGGATGTTTCATCAGTTTCATTCATATTATACATATACAACATATCTACTTAACCTAGCCATTTTCATAAATTATTTTTCGAAAAAATTAGATTTGGCGGTCGATGTCGAAAAAACTGTCAATTTTTTGAGGTTAGGTCAGTTCAAGTTTTTCATCAGATTATTCCTATCTACAACATACCAGAAATCCAGCTATTTTCAGAGATTTTTTTTTCTTGAAAAAATTATATTTTGGAGGTCAATATCGAGAAAACTGTCAATTTTTTGAGGTTAGTTCAATGGAATATCTGTAGTATATCAAATTCTGCAACATACTAAAAATTCAGCGATTTTCATCGAGAGCCATTTTCCCTATAGTTTCCCGTACCCAACGATTACGTACGATACAAGGATGTTTACATTAGAAGTGTGTCACACAGTAGATTAGTTGAAAATACGTGTTTTGCAACTTTTGAATAGAAATAACAGTAGTTCCAGCGACATCTTCACCAATTTTTATTGATTACTTAACTATTCCTTGGCATTCCTTGGGTTCTTTCCAGGTGGTCGGCATAGCGAGAAGGAAGAACCTCATCGACGACCTCGCCAAGAAACTCACCGATCGCAGAGGCAAGCTGCACTCCTTCCAGGCCGACCTCACCAAGGAGGCGGATATCCTCGCCGCCTTCGACTGGGTGCGGTCCAACCTGGGGCCCGTCCATGTACTGGTCAACAATGCGGGCATGGTACAGAATACCACGCTGATCGGCGGGGATACGGAGAAGTGGAGGAAGACCTTTGATGTCAACGTGCTGGGGTTGTGTATCGCCACTAGGGAGGCGATTGCAGGTGAGGAGATACTCATTTCCTGAGATACTCAGAATCTCGAAACAGATATTCTAGGAGATTTTGTGAATTGGTTGTCAGCTGATGCAAGACTACTTCGGCTTGCCAAGCCTCATCAGTTGCCACTGTACACTAGAGTCCAGCCATAGCACCATAGCGAGGTAATATTGCGCCTCGCTCGCTGCTCGCTGAAAATTTCCGGCCGATCCTGAGAAGAAACATAATTTAAATAGCGAATCACTATCGGCCTAACCATAGTATTTTTTCGATCAATTACTTCAAATAGATATTTACGTAATCAGTTAGGAAACGCGTTGTTTTGTGTAACAATGGGATTTTGCGGGACGAGCGAAGCGAGATCCCGCAACATCACAGAGTTACACAAAATGGCGTTTCCTATAACGTGTCACGTACAATATTTTTTCTAATTTTGACGAAACATTTCGCATGAACAAAAATAATGACCAGTTTTACATGAGTTCTGCCGACTCTTCACAAAATTTAGTAGGCTAGTTGGCTTCGCCTGCCACTTTGAAGTATCCGTCAAACAACAATACGGTCACAATCTAGCGACGAAATAGAATCAAATCACAACCAGTTCCACGAGTTCAACTTCTGTTACATCGGGAATCAATATTTCTAATTGTACTAATTGTGTTATAAATGTTTATTCTAATTGAATTCTTGTTTGTTTATTTGTATAGCTACAGATTTGAATCAATTTCTCTTCGTCCATCCATATTCTTATTTCGTAACTGGTGTTGAAATGAACATTACATCACCAGTTATGAAAAATTTTACTTTACGCAACTGGTTACGTAAAGTAAGACGTTTCAAAACTTCCGTCAGTTTTGAAAAGTGTCAGATTATATGTCGAAATTAGAAAAAAAAAAAAAAAATATTAGCTGGACTAGGGATCGAACCCCGGTCTTTTCTTTTACTTAACGATCAATTGGTATCAATTTACTATCAAACCTCTCAAGTTAATCCGTTACACCGTATTTTAATGTAGATATTGTGCCTATTTTCCGAAAATGAAGGTTTATCGAACCATACCACAGGTAATTCTAATCCTTCAGGTTGGAAAAGTAGGATATATACAGGGTGAGTCAGTTTTTTGTTGCAGGACTTCAACAGCTTGAAGGAGACATTTTTTCAAGACGAAAATCTTACATAAACATATATGCGTGGGAGCTTCGTTTCCGATATACAGGGTTTCAAAATTTGCAATTTTTTTTTGTGTTTTTCGAATTTCCTCCTACATTTTTCAGAATGATGGATTGAGATTTGGTACACCTATCACACTTCGCAAACGTAATATTTGGGGCTATGGAGCGTTTTTGAATACCTACAGGATGATACACTTTTGAGGGTCGTACCCGAGTTAACCCTCCCGAACTTTTTTGCGTACTGCCTCTGTTATTTAGGGAACATCAATTCAGATCCTCTCTTCAATTTGGATACTTTTTGCTTCTTTTTGTTTTTTCGAAAACTGTATGGGTTCCAATAAGAAAAATGCCAAAAATAATTTACTTGTAATGAAACTTTATTTTTGGAGTACGTATTTTGTAGCAGGATTTCAACAGCATGAGAAACACATTTTTCTAAGATGAAAACCTCAGTAAACATATATGCGTGGAGGCTTCGTTTCCGATATACAGGGTTTCAAAGATTGAGATTTTTCTTGTGCTTTTCAAGTTTTCTCCTACATTTTTCAAAATAATGAATTGAAATTTGGTACACCTGGTACATTTCAAAAACTTAATATTTGGGGCTATCGAGCGTTCTTGAATATCTACAGGATGTTACACTTTTGGGGTCGTGCAAACTTTGTAACCCTGTATATCGGAAACGAAGCTCCCACGCATATATGTTCATAAAAAATTTTCGTCTTGAAAACAAATATTTTTCAAGCTGTTAAAGTCCTGCTACAAAAAACTGACTCACCCTGTATATAAGTTTAGACAAGCATGGGCAAGCCAAGGTTAATTCATTTCATTGTACCTACCAGTATATTTCACCTGATGAAGCTACTGCGTTAGCGGCCAAACAAATGGAAATTGCAAATCTGAGAGATAAATAGTATTGTTTTTCCAAATGGCGTCATGTCACGTCCATCAGCTGACTCTAGGAAGACTATTACAACTTCGTTAATTCAATAAATGTCGTCATTCTCTAGTCGTTCCTCGTTTTTCTTATAATCATATGGTTTTCTTCTTGTGTTTGAAGATATCAAATGAATCCCTCCTATATTTTCCAGACATGCAAAAGAACAATATCGATGGCCATATCATCCACATCAACAGTATTGCTGGTCATAAAGTTCCTCAGACGCCAGACTTCAACGTCTACACTGCATCCAAGTTCGCTGTGACTGCTTTGACAGAGAGCCTTAGAGTAGAACTCAATAGTTTGAAAATGAAGACAAAGATCACGGTGAGTATATTCAGATGATGTGAGCGAATTCCAGAGAGAGTTCATTTAAAGATAGATAGTTAATATCGTCTATATCCGACTTGTCACGTAAATAACTATTATTTCTTGTTCAGTTCACGATTACGAGACACCTAACATGACTAAAAAACATCATTGAATATTGTCCGGCATTTTCGTTATCATTTTCAGAGCATAAGTCCTGGAGTAGTCGCTTCCGAATTCATATTGGCCAGCGGAATCCAGGTGGCCGAAGAAGTTGCAGCAGGTTTACTAACGTTCCTCAAGCCTGAAGACATAGCTAACGCAGTGGTGTACGTTTTGGGAACACCTCCTCACGTACAGGTAATTATATTGAAGTGCATATAGTGAAAAGTTTTTTGCACTACCAACCTGAGGAATTTAAGGAATCCCTATAATGAGGAGGAGCATGTTTACTACCTAGGTAGATAGTGATAATAAAAATATACCCAAGTACCTATACAAACATTCATTTTGGTGTGCCTGTATCTGTGGCAATAATTTTTTCTGTTGCATTCCGACTCTGACGTTGAATTGTTCCACCCTGTACATATAATGGAATGATTAAAATTCTCCTCTATTAAAGTAATTTGAATTCCCAACCAGATACTAAAGCTTATAAAATAATTATAATCTCTAATCGAATGAGCATTTTTCTTAAACAAAATAACTCAAGTTCTTCATTCTCATATATGCCTTATAAAAATGTTGCTTGTTTAGGAGATACAGAGTGTTCAAGGAAAGATTTATCAATAACTTTTGTACTTGCGGAATACGAATCTGTAACTTTTATTGCGATTGCTCATACAAGGCGCTAGTGACATACTCTGTATTTTTTTCAACGTCATAATTCGAAAAAGAGTACATTTTTTATGTGAAGTTGAACGGCCTTTGAGATTACCGTTCTACACGATTTTTTTCTTATTATTTTTCAGGTACATGAGTTGACGATCAAGCCAGTGAATGAGCCTTTTTGAAAACACCTTCTTACATCAAGATGGCGACACAAGAAGAATACTAATCACAAAAAACTCATTAATGTCGATGGAAATTGACCAATACTTTTGATGTATTATTTTACACGTACAAGTGAACCGAACTAATGATAAATGATGAATTGAATCCTTCCTAGCTTGAACAATAAAATTTCAAAAATTATTTTGTCTACGGCCTTGTGTTAATTTACCTATACATTTTCCCGCACATGTTTGGTTTTTGGAGGTTGCACTTTTCCGTACTAGTGTATGAAAACAACCTCCAAACATAACGCCAATTGACAGTCATATGCCCGAGATCACCTTTCGTACTATAAGGAAGATTTTATTGGGTCTCAACACTGAAGGAAAAGTTGAGACATGGTTCAGAGCTCACAATCTAAAACTTAATAATGACAAGTCTCAGAGGCTCTTCTTTCGCACTCGTCAGCATGGTGAAGAGAAACGAGAGGTAAAATTACTCGGTGTCACCTTGGATCAGGGATTGACTTGGAATTCCCATATTGTAGAACATTTGAAGCATAAATTGTCAAGTTCATTGTTTCTTTTACGTCAGCTCAGACATGTTTCAAATTTTGAAACTTTAAGCACAGTGTATTACTCACTTTTCCAGTCTCATATGGGCTACGCAATTATACTGTGGGGTAATTCTTCAGCTGCAAGTGCTATTTTCATTCTTCAAAAAAAAGCGATAAGAATATTGGGTAATGTAGGATATAGAGATACCTGTAGACCGTTATTCACCAAATTCAAAATTATGACTCTTCCGTCTTTATATATTTACAATTCACTTCTTGAAATCCATAAAATATCGTCTAATCTCACTACACAGGCTGATGTCCACCATCATAACACTAGGAATTCTGATAATATCAGAATCCCTAGATATAGGCTCTCTGTTTCACAAAAAAATTCTTTAGATTTCAATCTTTATAATGCACTGCCACATCGAGTTAAAATCTTAAATATGAATGAGTTCAAACGAACAATCAAATCGTATCTGTCAAATAATAGTTTTTATTCTATTGATGAATACGTTGAAAATATTTCAGGCGCTACCTTTTTCCTTTAAGAACATACTTACCGATTGTTCATTAGAATTAGTTTACAAATATTTATTATGTATTAACCTTTGTATGTTTGTTCTTGTGTAATGGTGATGTTTTATTATTTTCAAACTTTCATAATATTGTTTTCAAAATTTTATTCTGAGACACAAATGACCTGCTATGAATATGCATATGTATATGATATAGTCAAATAAACTATCTATCTATCTATCTATCACCAACACAGCTTGTGGCTCCGACGGAATCTCACTGATTGTTCTCAAGAAATGTGCTCCCAAACTAACACCTGTTCTCTGCAAGTTGTTCAACTACTCCTACCAATTGAGGATATTCCCGTCCAAATGGAAAATTGCAAGAGTACAACCAGTTACTGAAAGAGGCAAAAAGACCCTACCTAGCAACTACAGACCGATCGCACTGCTATCTATTATTTCAAAGATCATGGAGAAAGCTATCAACATCGAGCTCATGAAATACCTGAAATATTCAGGTATTATCAAGGACAGGCAATATGGCTTCAGTCATCAGAGATCAACTGGTGACCTGCTCACTTACGTCTCACATATATGACAGCAATCTACTGAAAAATATGGTGAAACCTTAGCCGTGGCACTTGATATCTCCAAGGCATTCGATCGAGTCTGGCACCACGGACTCCTCGCCAAGCTTTCATCTTATGGCTTGCCTCCCCAGCTATGTTCTCTGCTAGCTATTTTTTCTCAAACGGGTCTCTCCATGTAGTGGTCGACAGAGTTTCATCTGACACTCTTATCATAAATGCTGGTATCCCGCAAGGATCAATTCTAGCACCAACACTATTTCTACTCCATATCAACGATTTGTTGGAAGCAACCTCATGTCCAGAACACAGCTCCGCGGATGATAGTACCCTCCATACCACCTTCTCTTCCAGGGCTCCAATACCAGCCAGGCAAATCAGAAACGAACGAGGAAGAAATGTTGACAACATAAATATGAACTTGGCAACAATTCTCGAATGGGGATCCAATAACTTGGTAGATTTCAATGCAAACAAAACACATCAAGCATGCCTTTTCTCTAGAAAAGCCGATCTCACTGTACCCAACACAAGCTTGTCAGGAGTAACCAAACCTTTGAAGACATCAATTTCGATGCTTGGTATAACTATCAGCAATAACCTCACTTGGGATAATCACGTCAGATCAATTGCTAAAAGTGCATCCCAAGAACTTGGTTTTCTGTTTCGGGACAGGAGCTATTTGATTTTCAGTCAGCTGCTTATGATCTATAAGGCACAAATCCGACCTGTCCTGGAATACTGTTTCCATATTTCGAGTGCAGCACCCAAACATACCCTGAAACTGTTGGATTCTGTCCAAAAAAGGGCAAATCGTCCGTGGGTGATGCCTCGCTCACAAACTCACTCACTTCTCTGGAACACCGTAGAAAAGTTGGCGATCTGGCCCTATTTTATTGATATTTCCATGGACGATGCTCTTCTGAAATATCAACAAGTGTTCCTCCCTTGGCAGTCCCCGCGAGATTAACCCGTCGAGTTGGGGCTTCGCACCCCTTTGTGGTCACTTTGGAGACATCTCTTTCCAAAAACTTGTTCATTCAACGAACAGTGAGGCTCTGGAACACATTGCCAAGGGAGGTGTTCCCCGAGGCATGTAACCTCCAGAAATTTAAGAAGAACACCGATTCCTACTTCTCACGATGTTCTCTGAACATTACAGGATGTCTTTTTACGTGGGAACCAGAACATAGAAAAAAAATTAGTAATGAAATACCCTGTATATTCGACCAATTCGGAATTTCAAGCAGTATACCCATCCTATTTAGTTTGTGGGATGAGTCATCATCTTTCCGAATTCTGAAGGCCAGGTTCAGACCAGACTATAGCTAGATAAAGATAAATGAAATGTTTTTGATTAGATATTTTATTCAGTCGGCAAGAAAACTTGTCTCCTAATTCGTTGAAAACCATGAGCGTAACCATAGTTTGGCCTTGTTTTTACGCGAATACATATGGATATCCGTTTGATATGCAATAGCCAGATAACAAGCAGTGTGTGGACACAGGAATGATATACATGGTGTTCACCAAACCTACTGCGAAAATGTGTGGGTTTTTCTACGAATACTTTGATGCTGCTTGCTGCTTTTTGGGAAGCCGCTTCATTTGGAATATACAGGGTGGGTCACGGTAGATGGCACCTTAGACGTTTACGGAGAACGGGACCTAAGATCATTCTGAAAATTTGGTTACTCAAGTAATTGCTCTTGATCTATCGATCTAAAATATTTTCAGCTCTGCGGCGTTGCCGCTTCTATCGAAAAGTAGCAACAACTTTGTTATTTTAAATAGAACACCCTGTATTTTATTGCATCTTCAGATTCTCTCTGATGAGCTGATTTCATCGATATATCACACTTTGGGGTCTAGCGGAAATGATTACAGAGATATAGGGTGTGAAAAATCGACATTTTTCAACTTAAGGAATTTTTTTTGTCGAAACTATTCATTATTGGTCAAAACGGCTTACATGTCCCTATCTCAACTTTTGATTAACTATCTACTGATATTTAATTGGGACATATACCGGGTGATCAAGAATCTGAATTCTGCACCACCCTGTATTTGTTTCAATTAAATGTCAGTAGATAGTTGATCGAAAGTTGGGATAGGGACATGTGAGCCGTTTTGACCAATAATGAATAGTTTCGACAAAAAAAATTCCTAAAGTTGAAAAATGTCGATTTTTCACACCCTGTATCTCTGTAATCATTTCCGCTAGACCCCAAGTGTGATACATCGATGAAATCAGCTCTTCAGAGAGAATCTGAAAATGCGATAAAATACAGGGTGTTCCATTTAAAATAACAAAATTGTTGCTACTTTTCGATAGAAGCGGCAACGCCGCAGAGCTGAAAATATTTTAGATCGATAGATCAAGAGCAATTACTCGAGTAACCAAATTTTCAGAATGATCTTATGTCCCGTTCTCCGTAAACGTCTAAGGTGCCATCGACCTTGACCCACCCTGTATATCGGGCGATAAAGGTTTTTCAACAAAAACAATTATTTCATACCTATCAATATGCAGGTATACACAAACGCGTGAATTCAATTCAAATGTACATAAATAAACTAATGAAATATAGTAGCCACAACAAGATGTACTGTATGATACTTCCAAAAATATACCTTTTGAATGCCCTATAATTTCATGAAAAGATTAAACATAACGTTTGGCGATACACTCGTTCACCCCGTACTGACGTCAT